TCAGACCTCAGAATTGTCCAGAAAGGATGACAGCCATATGCAAATGACTCAAATAGCAGAAGAAACAGTCAACCTGCCAGTAATCAAAGACATCCGAATTAAAACAATCAAGATACCAATATCTGCCTTACAAATTAGCAAATGTGTTTTGCAGAGAAAATGCCAACAGTGTGAAAAGTGAGTCTTTCCACCACTGCTGTGAAAAGTAAACTGGGACAATCTTCAGATCACTAATACTTGGGTCATCAATGGCCTCAAAAACATGAACACTTTTGACACCAACACTGCCTTTCCAAGAATCCATTTTCTGTGGAAGTCATCGATATCCAGACATAGCGTTACACATACATGTTCACTGAAACCATTCATATGAAAATTCAAATCCATTTAACAATAATCAGTAATAACTGTAATCTTCTAAAACGGAGGCACACTGAGGTGAAAATCAGTGAATCCATATAATAAACTACTATGCAGCTATTCTTTGAGTAGGTAGGGAAATGAGAAACCTTCATGTATAACATTAAATGAAAAATGCAGGATACAAAATTATATTTGCATTATGATCCTACCCAAGTGAAAAACAGAGAGAGGTCTAGGAGGAAATACACTAACAGTGGCAAGTACCTTGGAGTGATGAGATCAAAAGGTGATTCTTTCCCCTTCCCTCCAAACTTTAAATACTTGGGAGAATTGGGACGCCTGAATGGCTCAGTCGATTGAGCATCTGACTTCAGCTCAGGTCATGATCTCACCGCATGTGAGTTTGAGCCCCGCGTCCGGCTCTGTACTGACAGCTCAGAGCCTAGAGCCTGTTTCAGATTCTGTCTCTCTCTCTCTCTCTGCCCCTCCCCCATTCATGCTCTGTCTCTCTTTCTCTCTCTCAAGAATAAATAAACATTAAAAAAAAAAAAAATTTAAATACTTGGGAGAATTTTCTGAAACGGAAATGGGAAAAGAAGGCCTGTCTACATAACTCCCAGTCAATGGCAGCAAATTCATGAATCTAAGGTATTGTCACTCTGGGCTTTCATAAATGTACAATGAATCTATCTTCGCAAAACCATCACTACCTCCAGAATGAAAACCTAATAGTACATGTGGTCTACATTTATTAAATAACTTGGCTAAATTATAAGTTCAGCCTAATGGACACTTTGGGGAAGAAACACAGAAAAAAATCACACATAGGATAAAAGAGATATGCCACTTTACCCTTGCAAAGACTTTTCAGAGACAACAATTCATTTGATCTTCACTGGTAGCCGGTAAGGCAGACAAAGGTACGAGCTGGCCACACACCCATTTTACAGGTAAGAACATGGAGTTCTAGATAGAGCAGAGGCTCTTCCTGACTTCAATTGCAGGGCTATGTCAGAGCCTGGGGCTCTTTCCGCTGTATCTTGCCATTACCCTAATCACTTAGTGATTCTTTACAAATATCTTAGAATAAAAAAGAAATTTCTCACTTGAAAGAAAGAAAAGAAAGAAATGATTTACTAATAATAAGAATAGGCTTCAGAATTGAAGAGATCTGACTCAAGGTCAAAACCCAGCTCACACATTTGAGTGACTTTTTCAAGTTAACTTCTCAGATACTCAATTTTCTCACCTATAAATACAGAAATAAAATTACACAGCTGACAATGTGTTGCAAAAATTAAGTGATCTGAGTACTCAGACCAGAACCTGCCACAAAACAGGTATAACACCGCATTCCTTCCTCCGAAAAAGAGTGAGGCGTCTCCAATGAACCAACTCCAAATTCCAATTTTAGTCATTGTTGGCACACCAGACTCATTATTCTGCCTGCTATCAGGAGCCCACCAAATCTTTACCAATTACTGAAGTGCTCTCGAAAATCATTAGAAACCACCCAACATAATAGTTTTAACCAATGACAATTTAAATCATTTTTTGTCAGTTTTAAATAGTTTCTCCTTTGTCCTAATACGTAAGTAAACTTCAGCATCAGAGCCAAATTCTTTAAAAAGTAACAATGAAATTGTTGTTTCTGTTGCCTGGGGCTTTAGCCTGACTCTTTTGAACGGAACTACTGAAACTCCCAAATCATCTGTTTGATTAATTTCTTTTAGCAGGGTAAAGGCAGGAGAGGGAGAATGGCAGGCACTTCTCAAATTTTTCATTTCCTCTTGAAATTAGATTTGGGCATGGAAGCCCACGCTCCAAGACTGCTTTTTCAAAACAGTCTGTCCACTGATTAAGTATTATGTGCATACACAGCTCGGTAGCTACCTGGCCAAATGAGAACCCAGAATTTAATAAAGCTTATCTTTAGCATCAAATGAGAAGTCAGGAAGCTGGATGGAAGCACACAAAACCCAAGGAGAGTGCCCTTCTCATTTCACTAGCCCTGGAACCTTTTCCACCCACTCCTTCCTAGAAGGCCATGCCCATTATCTGGTAGAGAAACTAATAAGCCCAAAGGTTGAGTAACCAGAGACCTTAAGGACATAAATAAGCCAAGATGTGGAAAATCATCCCTTCTGGTGCTTGTGGTATATGGTTTCAAACGCTGCTTCTAAGAGACAGAAGTTTAATGAGATTCTTCTACTAGCAAGAAGAGAAAGAGACAATGTCACTACCCACTGTGAAGTTACCTGTCCTTCTTTTCTCTGCTTCCCAACTTCTGCTAACCACATGCTTACAATTGTAGGATGTCCTACACTCCCTATCTTAGAATCTCAACAAGCCTGCTGAGGTTGATTTCTGTTCTATTTTCTCTCCAGGGACAAGTGGGGTACAGTAGAGAGGACGGACTCTGGAATCAGGCAGGCTAGTGTTGTCAAAGATCCATATAAAGATACATAGACACACACACACACCTCCTAGTGGTTCTGCTCCTCTGACTGAATGCTGATACATCAGTTACGTGACTGAAACAATGATTTAACTGCTCTGGGCCTCAGTTACCTCACCGTAAATAAGAACTTCATAGAGTTATGAGAAATAAGTGTGCAAAATGCATATGATGTACCCGAGTCAAAGCCTGGCATATAGCAAGCACTCGACATTACTTCGTAGCTCTTTCTCCTTACCTTCCTAAAACATTCCCTACAAACAATGCTGTCTTAGATCCCAAGAGGACCAGATGTTAGCTGGTCAGGACATCGTTTCTTCATATAGGCCTCAAGTCACACTGGCACATTGGTACTCTGTACTCTTTCCTTTTTAGATATTTCATTCTTTTTTTAAATTTTTTAATGTTTATTTATTTTTCAAGAGAGAGTGCAAGCAGGGGAAAGGCAGAGAGAGAGAGAGAGACAGAGACACAGAATCTGAAGCAGCCTCCAGGCTCTGAGCTGTCAGCAGAGAGCCCGATGCGGGGCTCAAACTCAAAAACCCTGAGATCATGGCCTGAACCGAAGACAGATGCTTAACGGACTGAGCCACCCAGGCACCTCTAGATATTTCATTCTTCTTAAATATTAAACTTCCATTAAAATGTTGCTACACAATTACATGAGAACTTTTTTCATCACCTTCCAGACCTGAGAGCTGAGCGTTGCTCAGAGATCCATCGAAACCCAAACTTACTCCAGGAATAGACTTCCCCAGCTGATGGCTGATTACATGCATCCATGCTGAAGTTTTAACAATTTTACTCCCAGGTTAAGCTATTCAAATTCTGGGCCAACTGACTCTAGCTCTCTAAGTTTCTGTCTATGACCCCGAGTCCAATTTGAACCTGATTATGCACGTATTCATTCTCAGCAATGAAACCCAGGGTGAAAACGAAAATCTCTCATCCAATAATACATGTCACTAGCTGTCATTTCCCCGGGGGGGGGGATGACTGAAGGAAATACAGGTCTGCTAATAAAGGCTCAGGAGACATATTTGCCATCCTGTTCCCTTCTTAACATGATCTGTGTTCTACAAAAAAATGAAGACCAAAGTGATAAGCCAGTTTACAAGCTGTAAGCGTTTGGAATCTTCTCAGGAGTAAAGAGCAGTGTACGTGTTTTCATGGAGGAGAGTTACGGTTGGAAGGCTTCCAGATGCTTATTATTTGGATGTGAAAAGAAGCTGCTCAAGCTTGGAAGAGCTTGCTGACGTAAGATTCCAGGCTGTGGTAACCCCAGACGGCCACGAAGAGATATATTTATTAGTGTTTTTTTAACTACTGCTCTAAAGTGACAACTAAGAGGGAAACCGGTGGCAAGGGATCCCTGGGGTCTATAGCCATAAAAACAAAAGAGCGTGAGACCTGACTTCCATAAAAGTTACACCTCCTTTTAGATTTCAATTAAAAACTCCTGCTCCAAATTCGTCATTGGGGACACACTTTACGGTCTCTGCTGGTGGCTTCCTGCTCTGACCACGGAAGGTTCCTTTTGTGGTGACAGGAATTGACTCAAAAAAGAAAAAAAAAATGTAAGTTTACAAATGAGCCTTCCCTTTTTCCAAGACTGATTTGTCCAGGATATGTGGGTAAGACATCTGAAATCCCCAACCTGTTACAAGAATCCATCAACCACTACAATTAATGAAAACTTGGAAAGGAAAGAAGTGGAACTCCCCAAGGTCTTAAAATATAAAACAAAGGTGGGCGGGGGGAGGCAACGACCGCGCACCCGGCCCCTTGTGTCACGATCTTCCGCTCGCGGGGCCTTTGAGGACAAGCGCGTAAGGAAAGGGGTCCGCGGGGCTCGAAGGTGCTCAGCCCGGCCAGAAGCGCACCCGAAGAAGCTAGGCCAGCTCCCTACACCCAGGACAGCTCAGAGGGGCGCGCCAGGGGTAACAGGTCCTCAGAGGAGCCGGCGAGCGGAGGGAAGGCGAGTCCCGGGCAGGCGGGAAGGGAGGGACGGGAGCCGTCGCCCCGCGCCGCACCCGGCCCGGGCCACCCTCCAACAGCCAGATGTTCAGTGTCGGGATCCCGCGGCGGTGCCAGGGCGAGGGCAGCTCGGGGTGCTGCCGGGCTGCCGTCCGGACCCCTCGCCTCCTCCCGAGCGCCCAGGCCCCGGCGGGGCACTCACCCGGGGCCACTAGCGGCGAACTCATGGCGCCTCCCACGAAGACAGCGGTGGCCAGGACCGCGGACCCCAAGAGTTCCCGTGGGGCCATCGCCGCGTTCCTCCGCCTTCCTTCCCCGGGGCGCCGCGTCCGGGGCTCCTGCAGGCAGTGCTGCTAGACAGCCGGCGGCTGACGGGGGAGCAGGACTCTGCCCCCGCGCGCTGTAAGCCCCGCCCCGTCAAGCACCCTCCTCTCCGGCCCCACCCACCCGGCTCGGCCAGGCCTCACCCCGCCAAACGCGGGGCTCCTCCCTGGTCCCCACCCACGGCAGCCTGGCCCCGCCTCCGCCCGCGGCGCCTGCTTCCTCTCTAATTTCAACCGCGGCCTGGGCCGCCGGGATAAGGCTGTGACCCCGCCCCTCCTGCCCCGCCCACCACTGCTCGACCACGCCTCCATCCGCCGGTTCCCCCCCCCGGCCACGCCCACCTCTGCCCGGTCCCACCTCTTCTCGCGGCGCCCGCTTGGTTTCCCAGTCTGGCTTCAGCGCAGACGTGGGGATTGAGCGGGAGCCGGGCGCGGGGGCAGGGTCTCCGCGGTTCATCCTCCCCCGCGCAGAGAGCAGGCGGGCATAAGAAGAGGAAGAGGGAGAGCTGGACAGGAAGCTCTAGACGGGCTGACTTGGCCATCATCGAAGTGGGCACGATCTTAATTCTTTGTTGGCATCTCTATCCAACTGGCTTTCCCCTCCGTGACTGGTCCGGAGAGGGGCGCTGCACGTGAAGTTCCACTGTTTGAAAATTGAAGAGAAAAGGCCATCCATTTAAATTTCTTCCTATCTCTGCTTCCATTTAAACTGTTTCTACATACCTCTACATACCTGCAGGAATTGCAGAAGTTGAATCATCACATGCATTGCATTGATTAGCCTAGAGCCCTTCTGAGTACTTCCCTGCTTACTGCACTGTAGAGACTCCTGAAGCAACACGGTCAGCCCTTTTTTAATCGTGTGCCCACATTGCACTTTGCAAATAGTTTAACGAAATAGCTCTTTAAGTGCCTAATCACTTATGATCTTGTATGCTCACTTAAGCTCTGTGAGGTGAGTAGTATTCCCATTTCACAGGCCCTTGAGTAAACCCACCGGCCACTGTGATAAACTGGAATTAACTTGTCTTCAATGTGTTTGCTCACTGCTATGCCCTCAGTGCCCAGCTCAATGACAGTACACATTAAGTAAAAGGTCAAAAGTGGTTTTGAAATTGAATCATCACATGCATTTCATTGATTAGCCTAGAGCCTTTCTGAGTAGTTCCCTCTTTACTGCGCTTTAAACACTCCTGAAGCAACACAGTCAGCCCTTCAGCAATGCTCAAGATCACAGGCATCATGAGGCAGGTGAGGGCTGGGGCTTTTCACAGAATGAGGCTCTTCCTTGGCTTGACTAGCATCCTCCAATTTTCAAAAAAGGACTTTTTATCTTCTTGTTAAGTCCTCGGAACAGTCTACTATAGACTCTTATCTGTAAGTCTATTTTGGCAGGAATCCCCAGCAACAGAAGCTCAGACCACTACAGATAGCTGGGACTGGAGGATGGGAGTCGCTGTCCTCTGAAGCCACGGGCAGGCGCTATGTGTCCCGTGCACAGTTGCAGACACATCCTGCAGTCGGGCGGGTGAAGCAGTTTTATACTACCCTAAAAACTGAGAATGGCTGCAGAGGAAAAAGTTCCGTGTAGGTTTCTAACAACAACAAAAAAAAGAGTCCTAAGCCTGGAAATTAAACTGCGAACTATCAGTTGTAGCTATATAATTTGCAGAGCCTAGTGTAAAATGAAAATCCAGGTCCTTTTGTTCAAAAATTATTAAGAATTTCAAGGTGGCCGGGTACCTGAGTGGCTCAGTAGGTTCAGCCTCCAGCTCTTGATTTTGGCTCAGGTCATGATCTCATGGTTTGTGAGATCCAGCCCCGCACCGGGCTCTGCATGGACAGTGAGGAGCCTGCCTGGGATTCTCTATCTCCCTCTATCACTGCCCCTTCTCCACTCACGCTCTCTCTCAAAATAAATAAATAAACATTAAAAAAAAAAAAAAAGACTTTTACAATGGCAATAGCAGAGCATTAAATCAATTATGGAGCCCTTCTAAGCATGCAGACCTGTGTAAAGGTTGTATGTCCATAAAGCCAGCTCTGGTTTTGGCACTTAGAATGCAGCAAAATGCTTGAACCAAGATATCTATGCAAAATGCAAAATATCATTTGAGGGGTACCTGGGTGGCTCAGTCGGTTAGGCGTCTGACTTCGGCTCAGGTCATGATCTCACAGTTCATGGGTTCAAGCCCTGCATCGGGCTTGCTGCTGTCATCCCAGAGCCCACTTCAGATCCTCTGTCCCCCTCTCTCTCTGCCCCTCCCCTGCTTCCTCTCTCTCTCTCTGTGTCTCAAAAGTAAATTAAAGAAAAATTTTAAATAAAAAAATATCACTTGAAAAATGAATAATGTTTCACTCTTTTTCCATATATTGAATTTACTATTAAAAAGACAGGACCATTTTTTAAAGTAATCTCCATACCCTACCTGGGGCTCAAACCCACAACCCCAAAATCAAGAGTTATACGCACCACCAACTGAACCAACCAGGGTCCCCAAGACAGGACCATTTTAAACAACATATTTGAGTTGGATGTCTGCTCATGGCTCTCCAGAAGTAAAAATACAACGCTGTAATTAAAGCTGGAAAAACCTTAGTAACCATCTACTAAGCCCCTTACTTTAGAGATGAGAGATAGTTAAGTGGCTTGCCAGATACCTCATACCTCGTATGAGCCAGGGTTGGAAACCAAGGCTCTGAAATTTCCCTTCTCAGACTTTTTTGGTAACACTTAGCTGCTTGACAGTCTCAATAGAGACCTTACTGTCACATAACCCCATATATGTGCATTTGCACATCTCATTGAAGGGAAGAAGGGAAGGAGAAAGGGATGAAGGGAGGGAGGGAGGAAGGAGGGAGAGAAAATCAAGTTTAAATTATTCTCCGGGTACACTACAGATTTGCTTGCACGATTTAAAAAGCGCCACAAACACACATCTAAAAGCCATCACCTGTTTTATTTTAAACATGAAGACTCCAATATGATGGAAGTTCTCTTTCATATTAGGAAGGGGACGTTACGTTTCTCCTGGAGAAATAAAAAGAAAAATAGTCTCATGACTAGTGATCTTCCCTTTTTTTTTCAGAAATAAAATTAAAAGATAGTAGGTAAAAATGGTTATAACAATAGCATTCATTACTTCATCCCTTAGATTTAACCCCATCCCATGGTGAGGGTTTCCTTCACCAAATCCTCACAAATTTTTATTTTAAGAAGTATTGTTACTGACTTTCCCTTCAAAGTGAGAAGACTAGCCTTTGAGGATTAAGGAATCTACCCAAGTCACACAGCCTCTCCATGGTGTCACTGGGACTCAAATCAGGATCAGCTCATTGCAGGCCTGCACTTGAACTTCTGCCTACACTGCTCTGCCTCTGAAATGCAGAATACTAGCCACGCAGCTCCCCTTTTCCAATGTGAAGTCTTATTCTGTCTTTGCATGCTTACCCTAGCCTTCTTGAGCTCCACGTCAACAATTACGTGCTCTTTTCTTCAAGGAGAATATTTGTTTATAGGGATAGGTTATAAACAAGAGTTTGGAGGAATCAAATTCACAAACTTATGCAATGTGCTGTCCTGTTTTTTGTTGGGTTTTGTTTTGTTTTGTTTTGTTTTGTTTCCAGTGTCTCTGCAAGAATTCAGTTAATCATTCCCCTTAGTAGAAACCTTTCCTGTTTTCCTAAAGTGGTCATTTTCATCACCATCATTTAAATGCGTAAGACTCAGTTGGCTGGTATTTACTTTAATTAATGTTGAAAACACTTCCGCAGAAGATCTCTGTAGAATTTATTCTCCCTGTGATTTAGATGTAGTCATCTTTCCTTTTGAGACGTTATATCTAGGAGAAAAGCTTACAATTTTACATATATATACATATATATATGTGTGTGTGTGTGTGTGTGTGTGTGTGTGTATACACACACACACACACACACACATATACATAGCAGGGGAATAAAATGATATTTTATAAAACCTACAGTTATTTTGGTCTGATAGCAAGTATATACCATGTTCCTAGTACTGGGCTGAGGGTAGGCAGTTGGAAGGGAGAGTCACTGCACATTTAATAAAACATCCTAACCTTACTTAAAGAAACTCTTCGGGGCGCCTGGGTGGTTCAGTCGGTTGAGCATCCGACTTTGGCTCAGGTCAAGGTCTAGCAGCTCTGTGAGTTCGAGCCCTGCGTCGGGCTCTGTGTTGGCAGCTCAGAGCCCAGAGACTGCTTCGGATTCTGTGTCTCCCTCTCTCTGCCCCTTCCCCACTCATGCTCTGTCTCTCTCTGTCTCTTGAAAATGAATAAACGTTAAAAAAAATTTTTTTTTTTTAAAGAAAAAAGAAACTTCACTATACCTGGAAAAAAGGAAACAACAGCATGGCAGAGTAGAAATGGTCAAAGGTTTGGGGGGGAGTGTAGAGTCCTGCCAGTAACTCACTCTGACTTTCAGCAGCTTCTCTTTGGTTAGTCTTCTTACCCATAAAATTCAGGGGGGTGATAGGCTGGTTCCTGAAGGTTGCCATCCAGCCCGAAGACTCTATGCCATAATAAGTAATCAACTGATAGATTGCAGGGTGCCAAAGTCAGGCTAGACTGAAGCATTTCTCAAAATTATGAAAACATTATGGGCCAGATAATTCTTCGTTGGGTGGCTGTTTTGAATATTGTAGGATATTTAGCGGCATCCTCTGCCTCTACAAACTGAATGCCAGAAGAACTCTTCCCTCCAAAACCCTGAGTTGTGAAGACCCAGAATATCTCCAGATAGTGCCAAATGTTTCCTGGGGGACAAAATCACCCCTGGTTGAGAACCACTAGGCTAGAGAAAAATTCCAAGAAGACCAAAAGGATTGCAGCCAGAAGCTCTGAGCAAGGCTTCGCAGAGAAGGAACAATTCGGGCTGAGTCCTGGGGATTATCGCAGAGGTGAGGGAAGTGTATGAGCAAGTGCTCTGTGAGAGAATTTGCATGGTGTTGGCTGCACAGTGATGAGGTTGCAGGAGGGAAAGAAGGAGAAAA